AACAAACCCGTGCAACCGAACTATGCATTACGTCGTTGGTATTCGAGTTTAATGCGCGTAACATGTAGAAAGCGAGTAATGATTTGTCGTAGACTTTACTTGGGTATTTAGTAAGGTGGACTATTAACGAGGAACGCATTTATCAAGGCGAATATTCTTGTGTTGCGTGCTGGAAATTCGGTTTTTGGAATCTGACATAAAAACAAAGCGGTCAGTGGCCATCGGAGAAGTAAAATATATAAAAAAAAATAAGGAAAAAAAAGTACGAGAAGAAAGAGGGGAGAAAAACAAAGCGGACGAAAAACGAGGGACTATAGATGCCATTAATCAGTCATCGTACCCTTCGGTGGTACCACATTAAACTGCACGTCATTCCAGTGGGTCAGCGTTTTCAATAACTTAAACTCCGTTCCTCCCCGACTGCAGTGACTGGTGGCAACTATATAACACAGAGCGGGACACACGATTTGTCACTGTCAAGGACGTCACAGTCGCGCGTGGCGCGGAGGCGAAACGAAAGAGTCGCCACGTAGAAGGTCAGCGTGAGTCTCTCCCTCTCGACTTCAAACCTTAACTCGGGTCGGTCCTGTAATTTCAGTTGGACTGGACTTTACACCATAATTTTCGTATACCGTTCCATTTGTGACAAAAATTCCATAAAAGAGCACTATAAGTAAGAGAGTAAGGGAATCATTTCAGCTACATTCCCCTAGTGTAGGGGTGAAAGAGGCGTATACCCGTGTCCCTTTGTTAGTAAGGTTTGTACTCCCCCCTGCCTTTCTTGGCTAGCGACAATAGCATGGAGTCGGCCATGTTTAATAGTAGTTTCGACGGCGCAGTCCGTGGCCGAGCTACACCGTTATTATCCGCTGTGTATTTTGGCTGCGATGGGAGAAGAGCCGAAGAACGAGAGGAGAAGCTGGCGAAGAGAAGAGGAAAGAAGAAAAAAAAAAGAAGAAGAAGAAGGCAGCAAGAGAAAGAGTGCTTAATTTTACGTGAAAGAGAGAAAGGGGAGGGTGGACCACCTGCCTGAGGATAGGGCAAGCGGGTGGCCGAGTTCCCACACATTTCAGAAGACAAGATGATAGTGTCATGTTAAGAGAAAATGACAGAGAGAGAAAAAGTTGTTCCGAAGTCTTATAGAGCGTGTTCGCGATTGTTGCTGCATTGTTAGTCTAGATGGAAGGTTTCCTGCTACTTTGGCTTGTTAACCGTACGCCTTACTTAATAATAATAATGTATAAAGGCATTAACTTCTGCAGATTTCTGCCCTTTGTACGAACTCCCCCATCCAGCTTGCAGTTGGACGGGGTGGCGAGTTTGACGCGCTGCAATATAGTGACGTGTCAATGTCGATGTTGGATATGTCGAGACGAGAGGAAGAAGCTATCTCGGGAATCTTATGACATATTAGATGCTCTTCTTCTCAAACACCAAACACCATTGTTACGGTTTACAAAGTTGTGTGACGAAGAATTCTACGTATTGTCCTCCCCCGTTTTTAGTTTATTCCGGAATGGGATGTGAAAAGTGGCATTTAAAGTGTGCAAGAGTAATCGTTGGATTTGTGTGAGAGCTTGTGGGGAATTTGTCGGTATGTGTTTTTAAGGGAAGCCAGCGTTGTTGTTTTCCTAATTCGCAATATCAGAAACGAACGTTGAAGACACCTCTAAGACATACAGACGAAATTAACGACTTCTGCCCCCTCCGCAACACTCACTCGGAGAAGAACAAAAACCATAGGACGATCTATATTCAAACGTTGATGCCGGGAGGGCTGGAGGGTTAATTGTTCCCCCCGCTCCTTCATCTCAACACACGGAAAGGACGGAAGAGATATTAATGAACGGTCCTTGCGAACTGGCAAGGTGTGAATTTGGCAAAGTCGTTATCTCGATGCTTACGGGAAGGAAGCGAACGGGGCGGGATGAAAAAACAGAAATCAGGAGGCAGGGGGGACGCAAATTAAAAACGGCCCTCTTTGCAAAAAGTAGGGAGTGTAGCTCTCTGCAGAGAGTACCTCGGGCAGATGTCTTGTTCCCAGGGTAGCGCCGATAATTAGAGATACATCAAGTTAAAAGTTTGTTAAGAACAACACGCGCTTAGCCGCCCATTCTGCATTCGAACGAGGGAACGAGGGGGGTAAAGGCGAGAGACGAAATGAATGGTGGGAAAAAAATTGAAACTAGGATGGAAGTGATAGATAGAGGGTCCGATCCCTCTTCCTGTCTATGCCAAAGCGCTGCACAGTTCGTTAGAAAAACTCATTATCGGAGGCGTTTACAAATTAGAAAGTTTTTTCCCCACCTTATGACGTCACGCGAGTGGTAGGGTTAAGAAAACGAAACAAAATTTTCCGAATTTTGTCTTCCTCCCCCTTTCCGTCAGGTAACGAACGGAGAGATTTTAAGAGGGGCAAAAAACCCGGACAGGGTAATTAAACAAGGCAAGCTGCACAAGCGTCTAGTGTTTGGGTAATTAGATTTGGAGTTTTCCTCCTCCGGATTCTTTCCTCCAAATCCGTTAATGTCGGACTGTTGTTTAATTATTGTTTTCGAACGGCAAAGATCGCCAATTTTTCTTTTCTTATGGAAAAACTTTCCACCGAGAAATTTGAATAAAAATCTTCTCTCCAAACTTTTCAACTATCCGACTTAATCTACTGCTTAACACCCAAGTTTCTTTTCTTTTTTTCTTTATCTAAGTTGCCATCAACCTGTTGGAAATCCGTTGCCCATTGATTTTCCAGCTTATCTACCCACTTTGCTCCCTTTGCCAAGTTGATAAAATACTAGAGAAACGGACAGGATCCGTCCAACACGGGTTTAAACGTCGTTGTATTGGGATATAAGAAGCTTAATTACGGGATAGAAGACGGCAAATCACATTACCGAGCTTCGACGTTACAACTGGAAAGAACAATATTTATAATTGCACCACATCGAACCTAAACTGAAATATGTACAAGCTCTATCTACTCTCGGGGCAATTGTTACCGTACGTAAAATCATAGACCGTCCGACAACTTTTGGGACATTCCTATCCCCAACCATATCGCCTTAACTGGATTAGGCGGTTGGGTTCTCTTAACCCTCCACCCCCCAGTTCTCTTAATCGGGTTATGGAGGGGCACAGATCAACAAAGCGTCAGTTTCTAATCAGGTTGCAAGCTGTGAACAAATAGTGCTACAGTCTTATGTCCTTAGAGACTTGGCTGTTTGCTGGGCGACGTGTGTACACGCCTTCCTTGTTCGGTGGTGGGCATTAAAGTTAAGGGGAACGGAACATCCCTCATTGAAACAGTCTCGTAGATAATCTTTGCTACCTTTTCTTTGTTTTAACTTTTTTTTCCCTTCGCTACTTTGTAAGCATTCTGTCTTCAAAAACACCCAATTTTACAAACTTTCGATTCTTTCGTGTGTTTTGATTTTTTTCTAACACGACATAGAACAGGATAAGCTAAATAAACACCAGCTTAGGGCCTTCCTTACCGGTTTATACCTTAGGGCCTCGCATTTTTTTACATTTGTTAGAGGAGTAGGGCCCGTTATATTCTGTAATTCTAACTCGAGAGCGAAGAAATTAAGCATTTAAATTAATATAAAACTCTGTATATATTAGATGAAAAACGCGTAAAACATTTTTATATAAATTAAACCGGAAAGCTTAAATTCGAATTTAAAAATATATTTTTAATTAATAACAACGATGAAAAGTTATCGCCTTATAGTAAAGATATCATTACAATTTATGGATAAATCTCCTGTTGGAGTGTATATAACTAATTCCAGGAAAGAAAGTCAGCATATCAAAAAGCTTTCGTACTTCGTCACTTAATAGATTGACTCGACCCGAACTCTCGGAATGTACTGTGCGTGTTTGGGTTGGGTGGGAGAGAAATCACGGAACATTAGGTTCTATTCTTCTCGTCTAGACGGTCACGGTACAATTAATTACTGTTAATTACCTAATTACTGAATCTAGGAAGGAGGGATTTTGCGCTACCTCCTCCCCACACACAGACGCACACACACACACACACACACAGAGAGACACAAACACATACACACACACACAGAGACGAGTTCGTAAGCAGCTAGTCGAAGCGGAGTTTCTCCATTAGTTCTGCTTCTCTGAGCTCGACAATTTGGGAAAGGGACTCAGGGTCACCATATTGATCGGGCCCTGAACCGAACGAACGTCTCGAATATTTCGAGGGCCCGTTTTTTCTTCGAATTATTAAAGATACAATCGACAAAGGTTCGAAGCTTTATCGACCTTATTGTTTATTGGAACTGCTATTTCCACCTGATTCTTAACTTCTACTAACTGCTGATGAAGACATTGCCCAAGAAGAAAATGTCTGCTCTCTGCAATGATTGATGTTTGTAACTTGACCGATACCACCTGGATCTGGGTTCACTAAACTCGCTAAAGCTGCTCCTATGTGGTTTCGACGTTAAGTTTCCTTATATATATATATATATATTTTTTTTTCCTTATTTTCCTCTTCCATATTTCCTAATTTCGCGTTGATTATTATAAATTTGGGCCATATTTTTTTTTAAAAAAAATAACTTAACACCATCTTTCTGTAGAATTTACTAAGCCAGCTTAGATTAAAAACTGGCTGACACTCCAAACAATTAACTATCTGGATAAGAGATAAAAGGCTAATTTATGCAAAACACACTACCGGCAATTATAAACCTTATCTAAAGTAAACAAAAATATTGATTGAAACATCATAAATATTATTTAAAAACCCGATTAATAACGTCATAAAAATCACTTTAATTTAACAGTAAAGCCATCTTTCGAAGGTTATCCTGCGCCTGGCCACACCGTTAATTGTTTTAAGTCTTTCCTCCCAACTAAACCTTCTCGTCAGTTTAAAAAAAAAATCAAAAAAAAATAAACATTTAATCAACCATTTAATGTTTCAAATATGTCCTTTCAATAAAAAACAAACAAAATTATTAACTAATAGAGAACCTCACCTCCAGTATTTGTAGCTGAACACCAAGGGGATGCTGACTTACCTGTAAAGAAAGCATTCAAGAAAACAGTTGTGATTTTCTTAATAAAGTGTTGTCTAAGGCTATCTGTTGTTAGGCCTGTCATTCTCTCTCTCTCTTTTTATATATATTATTATTTTACACTATCATAAATAATTTATTTTTTAAGAAAAATCACCAACCAAGAACTGCTTACCGTAACAAGTGCTACTGAGGAGAGAAAAAAAAACAGTGAAAAAAAAACGCTTAAAATAACTTGGCAACCGTACAAAATAATAGAAATTGTTAGGTTATAAATGAAAACTTAAGTTATTATTTAATTATTTAAAAAAAAATACAGGCATACATGCACACACACACAAGCGTATTGTACGTATAAAACTATACTTACAGGCTATATAAATATATAATTTATATATTAAATGACTTACCTATTGATGCATGCAAGTTGAAAGATTAAAATTTATTTAAATTAATGAATTTTTTTGTGTTTTTAGAAGCCATTTTGAACTGGTTATATAAGAAAATATATACACTGTATAATGTATATCTAAGTAAAGAAAAATCAGGAATAGGCTTCTAGAAACGTATAAAAAAAATAAAAGGAGAGATTTTTCGTGTTAAAAGATCGTTTTAGAGTGTTTATATTTGTTTTATTTCATCGAAAACGAAAGGAGAAGTTGAAAAAAAGTATATATATATTTTTTAAAGGAGCCGGAGATTTGATTAGAAAGTCTTTTAAGAATTGAAGATTATTGTCTGTTATTTACAAAAATTTGTCATTCAAAGTAGTTTATTTGATTGGAATTGAATGAAACTTAACAAATCGAAATTGAATTTCGAGTTATTCGCTTATAATTTGCATATAAAAAGACAAATTAACAGAATTTTCGCAGAGTGTAGGCCTAATTCGAAGCATTAAAAAGCATACGTGTATTCGTTTATACAGGGAAGATGGGGATTAGAAACGATTCTGTTATACCGTAGGAAAGTTATGAACGATTAAAAACAAGTAAAAGCCTCAAAATAATAATCTCTTTTATCCTTTTTTTTTATATATATATATAAGAAAACAGTGTGAGACTGCATGTAAGCGCGTGATATCTTTTCAATCACATTCACAAATCTAGACAAACAACCTTTGCAAATCCTCAAAACGTAGCATCCTCCAGCATCCTTCTATAGCTTGATTCTCTTTAACTGTCACCGTTAATGACGTTTATTTTGTAAGGAGTTGTATTTTATCGTTTTTTCATGTTGCGAGTTCGGAAATACGCAGATCGAATTCAACGTTATTCCAACTGTCAGCCGAAGGTGGGACATTTCGGGATTATGGAGACATTTCTGGTTCCGATAGATAAGTCCGTTGACAGTGACGGGTATATAACGTTTGTTGCTGTCACACGTGTCCAGAGATGGCATTGACGACAGCCAAAGAATGTAGTCCGCCGTTTTGAATTTATTTCCTTGCACCCTACTCTGACCATTCTTGTCTCTCTCTCTCTCTCTCTCTCTCTTTCTCTCTCGGATTCGCTCTGCTCGCTCGCTCTGCTGGGATTTGCGCTGGCAAATGCAAACAAATGAAACCCTCTAATACATTAAATAGTGGTCACTTAGTTTATATACGCGATTAGGAAACAATTACATGCGATGTTCGAGTTTACGAGCGTTAAATCTGTCGAGGATAATTCAAGAATTTTTGCAAAACGGGAGCATCCCTAAATAGAGATGAGGATGAGTTTTATTCGTTTTTCTGAATGGATTTGTGCGTAAAATTCAATCAGTTTTTGCGAAAATTGCTTGAGAAAATCTCTATATTCGGCCTCTCTTTTCCTCTTCCTCTCAATAAACACGAATCAATCTTTTAATTATAAAACGATTCGATTCAATTATTCAATCACAGGCCTACTTAAATAACCGTTTTCATTAATAAAAAAAAAGAAATATAATGGATGTATTTAAGTAAAATATCGGAGGAAATTCTACATATTCAAACACGCCGATCAGATATCAGTAAATCTAGATTCTCCATCGTTTATATCGCATATTTGCCTATCGCCATTGATGCAGTGTAGCGTTGACTTTCTCCAGCGCTTAAGGCCATTGTAACTCTTAAATATTTTGAATATTTTATAAAATAAAATAGATATAAAAAAAAAAAAATACGAGATGTTTATCTTCGTTTTATGAACTTGTAATTATAGTATATATGAGACGTGGCAATAAACACAACAAAAAGAACAACTGTTTGTGCCGAGGTGTATTTGTGGTAATTACATAGGAACAGGGGGTGTAAGATAGGGGGTTTGTTTCCCCAGCAACTGTCGTCAAGTTTTGCTCAGCCCAGCTGGTGTAGGTAGCTGGTGGAAGAGGGTACAAACTGACTCACGCATGGAACAGTCTACTTCCCATTTTAGGGGCGATTAACTCAATATATACATATATATATATATATATACATATATACAGTAAATATGCAGTTGTGATTTAAAAAATTTCCTGATCGATCTAGTTCGATTTAAGAAAGGGAGTATTTAATTCCGGTATTATTATAGTAAACCATTCATGCATCGATAGAATTTTGAAATTATTTAAGTTCGGAATTTTGTTGTTTTTTTATATATATATATATATTTTTTATTTTCCTTTAAACATAATTCATCGGTATNATTACAATTTAAGTCATAGAAAGATTTGTATGCACTAAAAGAAGTTCGTATATAATTTATTTTTTAAAAAATTCTATAACATTTAAAGTATATTAGCAACAGAATTTAGTGAAATTAAAAGAAAAGTAAAAATTTAGGGGAGGAAAAAATAAAAAAATAAAAATTTGTAAGGCTAATGATCTTCATTTACACTTTATCAGTTAGTGAGTTTGAGGTATTCAAGAAAATTAATTAAAATTCGAAACAAAATTAGCAACGCATTCCACAACGTATTCCGAACCGAATCTATTCGTTTTATAATGTTTATAAAGAATCTTTCTTATGATAATTAGCTGCAGTTGGTCGTTTAAGTAATTAAAACAAACGGAGATTATTATTTCTAGCTTAATTGGCCATAGATCAAAAATTTCGTCTAAAATTCTTTGATTGCCCTCTTACCGAGTTCTATTATAAGGGATTAATGTGAAGATTATAGATCTATATTTTCTTTTGTTTCTTCTTTTATTTTTATTTTATTTTATTTTTATCTTTTTGTTCTTTGATGCGGGTGCTTGGTACAGATTAGCGACAGGTGGCCCTTAGAGAGCAAGAACGAATGAAATGTAGTCCCTAAACTGTTATGTCCACTTCTATATCGAATTTCGGCGTTAAAAACCTTTAATTTCACTTAAATAATGTGAAAAAAATGTTATAAATTTTAATTTAGTTACGTGTATTTTTCGCTTCTACAATGTTTAATTTCAATTTTTATCCCTTTATCGGTGAAATTTAGTCTGTAAAATATGCTTCTGTATCATATTTTACTGCTAGAAAAGATCTGTATTTTCGCTTAAATAATGTGGAAAGAGTTTTAGATTTCGATACGTTAAGTGTTTTTTTCACTTCTATAAAGTTAAATTTCGCTTTTACTTACCCGAAATTGGCTCTCTACGAATGAAATTTGGTACTCTAAACTGTTATACCCGCTTCTACGTTACGTTTTGTCGCTAAAAATTTTTAATTCTATTAAAATAATGCCGAAAAAAATTGTAAATTTTAATTCGCGAAGTAAATTTTTACTTCTATAAGGTTAAATTTCACTTTTTGTCATTCGAATTTGGCCTTTTAGGGATGAAATTAGGTCACTAAAACCCATTCCGCATGAACTTGTACTGCTAAAAATTCTGTATTTTCGATTAAATAATGTTGAAAAAATTACAGATTTCGATTCGTTGAGCTTATTTTCACTTCAATAAAGTTAAACTTTACGTTTACTCGCCCGAAATCGGCCGTTTACGCGTGAAATTCGGTCTCTAAAACCCATTTCTACATCGACTTTACTTCCGAGAACAGTTGCGCGTTATAAATTCATGGGGTCCGACTAATTTGAATCAAAGGGCCCCACATACTGTATTGTATTACAGTGTGGCCTTTTGTTTTCTTTGGGGTAAGTTTTTGTGGAGAATTTCCCGTTATCCCCGTTGGTTTTTTTTTTAAACATGGCCTCTGGAGGAGGGTTAAGTTGTGCACTGCGCTATACCGGCAATCTACGGTCGCAGATATGGCCCAAATTTAAATTTCTATATTCTTACTACAATAGTGAGTTTATAAAAGATTGGTTTGTGGCCTCCTCTTAGTGGGTGATTTCAGACAATTGTCCTTCTTTCCCATAGAATAACGAGCCACTGTCCAAGAAAACCCGCATTTTCGCTAGAATTTCGTACATTTCGATACATTTTGCTGCAATTTCAAAAAAACTAGACCTATAAATTCCCACTGTCGTCCATCTGTCTGTCTATCTGTTGTCTGTACTTCCTTAATCTTAGATAGACGAAAGTCGAGACTAGCTATGGAAAGGTTAGTGGCAAGAGGCCCCGATTAAATATATACGAACTTCCGATCCAAACCGGAAATCACGTGATTTCAGTTCAAATATTCCCCCCAAAAGGAGTTAGTTAGATGACCGGCACTACTCTACTGCTAACAGGGAAAGTATGATTTACAGGGGCAAGACAATGCTAATACGAGATGGAGAGCATATATTTTAAATGAAATAAATTTTTAAAAAATTGCCAGTAAAGTAATATTCCCGGGTTAGAAACTTAATTTCGTTTGTGTTCGTAAGAAATTAGAGCGATTTTCGATGCGAAAGAGAGAGAGAGAGAGAGATTTTCCACATTGCAAGAGCGAAGAAAAGATGAGGGAGATTGATATCCCACATAGAATATCTGTTAAAAATCTACAAGCCAACTGACTTTCATCGATTAAAAAGTTTTCAAAAACCTTTGGGAGCAATTGCATTTTTGTGATTTAAAGAAAAAAAAAAAAAAGATAGAAGAACATTCTGTCGAGCGAAAGGAATCTTTTGACTTTTTC